GTTGATGGAAAAGACGCTTCGAAAAATAGTTGAAGAAATTTGACTAAATATAAAAGTGAAGACCGAGCACCATTCTTTGAAGCTCGAGCCATATTTCAAGAAAGCTCGAGCTTTGCTCCTAAAGCTCGAGCCTGGGCCAAATAGCTCGAGCTTTGCTCTTAAAGCTCGACCCTGGGCCCAATAGCTCAAGCTCTACTTCTAAAGCTCGAGCCTTCCATGACAGATTGGATTTACAAGTTACGGGAATTATTCTTTTTTAAGTCTTAATTCATTCTAGATGGGCTAAAAGACCTAAAAGCCCACCAAACCCTTATTTCTTCTATAAAAGAAGGCACAGGCTATAGTAAAAGACGTTCCTTTTTCTCGTATTATTTAGAAGTCTGATATTGTGGTGGCGGATTTTAAGAATTCCAGAACCATATAAGGTGAAAATCCTGAGAAGAGAAGTGTTGTCCATGACGATGAAGACGATAACAACACAGATGATATTCTATGTAGTCATGAGTAGCTAATTCCTCTCTTAGGGCACTGATGTAACCCAATCAAAGTACTATTGTTTGATTGTTTTAACTCTGGAATATTTTTAATATATTATATTTTTTATTACATGATTATAGGCAATTGAGACAACTCAATTGGATTTCAAAGTTTTAAATAGTTTTTGAAAAGTTATTACCTTGTCTTAGATATAACTGTTCTTAGACTATTCTAAACCTATTCTTGTTGGACGGTATCTAGCAAAGCCCTGCCGGACATAAGAATGGAGATCATATAATGGTGTTCCAATGTTTTTTATAAATGAATGTTTTTATAGTCTATGCTTAGGAAAGATGGATTATTTGCAAAATTAATTAAAGTAGGTAAATGAATAGTCCATGCTAACCGCAGATAGGTCATAGTTAATTAAAATTTATAAAACATCTTTCTTTAAAACTGAATTAAATGAGTATTATTGAGTTCAATTCATTTGAAATATAAATTGTTAAAACCCTAAAGTTGAACAGTTAACCATAGTACGGAGTTCGTGGTGAAGTCAAAGCCCTAAGACTTTTTTCTCTCTGATCTCTTTAGTTTAAATTAAGTTTAATTTTATTTTATGTTCGTGACAACTAATCAATCAATTCAATCAGTTACCTGTAAACCAAGAAATAAATTAGATTAGTTGGAAACAAAGCAAAGAACATTCATCTCCCTGTGAGATCGATACCATCTATATTGTCCTATCCTACAAAGATTCGTACTATTGTGAGTGGTAATTAAATTGACACATCATGATGCTTCTCAAATTTTTTTATTTCGGGCATTTTTTTTTAATTATTTTATTTTCACACCTCGTTTTGCGTGCCATGCACCGGCTAACGTGCCACGATGGTTCTAAGAGTGATTGGGGTTATTTCTTTGAGTTTAGAACTCTTATAAATGCATTTTGAGCCATTTTGCCATTTTTCAAATTTTTAGCCGGGGAGACACGTGTGAGTCCCATACCCGAATTTTTGGGTCTTGATATATTTTTCTTATTGTAATTAAATGTTTTATACATTATTTTTCATTTATGCAAGGGCGGTTTTGGTATTTGGGATATGAATGGCATAATGGTGAATTAGCAATTGATGAGGGGTATTTTAGTCTTTTTCTTGGTCAACCTTTGACCATGCATGTGTGGTGACACCTACACACATAGATGGCAAAATGTTCACATGCATTTGACTGACCTTTTCGTGAGTAGACTTCAACTTCTCCTTCCTCTTTTCTTTCTTCCTTCTTCTTCCTCCTTAACTTCATTTCTTCCCCCATTGTTGCCCCATCTTAAAACTTGTATTTTAGGGCCTTGTGGAGGGAATTAGGTGCTGCCATGAGAAGCGAAAATGTTCCTTAGAGTGAGAGCAATACAGTGATACAAAAATCAGAGCCATCTCTTTATTCTGAAATTTTGAATTTACCTTGGAAGTGGGATTTTGGTTGGACTTCTAGAGAGGTTTTTGTTCCTCCTATCTTCTTCATTTCCTTGGTGTTTCTTGGCTGCCATTTGGTGAGCTTTGGACCTTCGAATTAAGGGTTTTTGTAAGGGCTTTGCTTGGTTTGAGGTAGGCGTTATCCTAAACCTCAATTCCTTTGTTTTTCTTGTGAATTACTCTCTTAAGTTTGAATCATTATATGACTAAAAATGAAGTTTCTTTACAACTATGTTATGTTGTTAAAATATGAAAATTGTAGGTTATATAGAAATGATGGGTTATGTGCTTTAAATGCTGAAATTGGGCTCCTCTAAATGTTGGTTGCTTTTATGTGCATAAAGCTAAAAAATTAGTAATTGTAATGATGGTGTTATAGTTGTTTACAAAGCTGAAAATCTAGTAACTACAATGGTTGTGTTGTTGTTGTTGCAAAATATAAAATTTCCATGTTTAATGTACCTAAACCTTTGGACTGTTTTACTTTAAGCATTGTGTTACAAAATCTAAAATTTCCTTGTAATGTACTTAAGTCTTTGGACTGTTTTGCTTTAAGCATTGTGTTGTTGTTGTTGTAAAATATGAAATTTTGATGTTTGATGTACCTAAATCTTTGGACTGTTTTGCTTTAAGCATTGTGTTGTTGTGGCTTCAAAACTGCCTTGTTAGTTTGTTATCAAAGCATAATGTATAGAACTGAATTTGATTTGGGAATGCCATGACATTATTACATTATGAAGTTGTGTCATTCATACATTACATTGGGCATTAAATGGACAAAACAGATTTATTTTTGAAATGGAGGAAGTAATGTTTTGAGAATTAAGTAAGCTGATTTTTGGGGGGGGAAATAATTAAGGCGTTGGATGGAATTTTGGAAAATGGGGAGAGACATTAGCATCTCATTAGCATTGTGTTCCATTGCATTTTCGAGATTGCATTATGTGACGATTATTACTTCCCGAACAGGCATACACATTTTTCTTGTTCTATTCTTTGTTTAGATTCATGAAGGCATTAAGTAGTGCGTTTTAGGCATCTCCTATTGAGCCGTTGTGTTCACTCCGCACTACTATTTTCAGGTTATGGAAATGACGTTGTGGATGACATTCCTCCACAAGCATGAACGGAACTTAAATTACGAATTATGGCATATTTTGTTGTATAAATGTACATGTCGTAAAGTCTTGATTATGCTATGTTGAAGTTATGTATATTTTGGACTTGTAAATGTAATGAAGTATCCTTAAGGCTTGTAATCATAGACTTTAGAAACTCTAAGTTTTGGATGTAAAATGGGACAATGAATGCATGATATTTCAAGCTTTTATTTTGGTACCATTACATATATGATTTTATGTATAAGGTTTCTATGTACATTTACACTTTGGACAGGTTTGAAGTGTTTGGGTTGACATTATCACTTAATGAGCAATGTAGGAACCAAGCCAAGGCCAAAATAAAGCTTTGTGCTTGAGCACAGGGCCTAAAATGGTGAAATTCCGAGAGTAGTTTTCTGCATGTTAACCTGAACTTCAAACGACCATAACTCCCTCATTTTAAACCCAAATTGGGTCATTATTGAGTCTAAACTGATCGACTCGAAGTCAAATTTCCAATGGTACTAATCCCAGCCATAGATTCCATTTGTATAGCCTCTCTAGTACAAACTACTCCAAAAATCTTTGAAACAAAAAGGTACAATTGTATGAAACCATCATTCTTATGTCTAAAATCTTGTGGTATCGGTCTAAATGACCAATTAGACTTATGTTGATCTTGTATGATTCACTTAGAGTTATCTCATTCACTTTCATACCTTGAGTGGACCATTTTACCCTTGGGTATTCTCGGGTTTGGGTAAGGACCTGGTTAGCATTTAGGATCCTGGGTTTAGGGCGTTATAATCATCAATGCATCAACACTCGTGGTTCCAGAAATCTCAATATCGTTGATCGATCTCCATGGACTACTAATTTTGTGCCCCTGACCAATCTGTCGATTTTGTTCACAAACCCACTTGCGTTCACAACCCTCCAACAGTCACAAGAAAATTTATGTGATTCACAAACCAAAATGAAATATTTACCAAAAACAAACCATCATATATATATGGGTTGATTTGCAGATATGAAATATATATATATGTATATATATAGATTGCAGATATGGAATATATAGATGTATTGCAATTATACCAAATTACTCAAATTAACCCATCATATCGTTACTCAAATTAGTCGATGTGTGTATATATATATATATATTGTAATTGTAATTATATGAAGTAATTTGAGTAATGATAAAAAATGATTACTCAAATTACTTCATATAATTACAATTACAATATATATATATACACACATATACACATTTTATCATTACTCAAATTACTTCATATAATTACAATATATATATATATACACACACACACACAACAAATATGAAGAGAAACAGAGATTGGTAAGTAATGTCTAGATTTGGTGGTTGTGGTTTCGGTTTAGAGAAAGAGAGGGGGTAAAAGTTATAGACGAAGGGAATGAAGAAAAGGAAGAAGATAAGGGGGTATTTTTGAAATTTAAAAAATGATAATTATATTTTTTTATTTAATATTAAATAGCATGGTCAAATTTGAAATTTCACAATCTTGTTAACGGGTTGAATATATATATTGGGACAATGTGATCAAATTTTAAAGTATGGGGGGTTTTTAAAAATAGATTGCGAGTTTATGATCAAAATTTGAAAGTAAAGAAATTTTATAGAATTAACCTAAAAAAATATAAAAACAAAAAAGAAAACAGAAAAAATCACCTAGCACGTGCTATGATAAACTGCCGTCAGCCATTGAAAATTGAATCAATTGTTAGCCGAATCAATTGTTAGCGTGTCCAGCAGGGTAAGTACAGGAAGCCGTGTTCGTCTGGCGTCGCAATTTTGTCCAGTAGGGTAACGCGTAATTTTTTTTTCTGCGATAAGTTTTTTTTTCAAAGTACACCTAAGTTATTTATTTTGTCCTGTACTAAGCTAGTATTTATCTTATAGAGTACTGTAGTTATCTCAGAGACTCTCTATATATCTCTCTCACACACACACACACACACACACACATCGTCTACTTATCTGTTGGTGCGTCATCTTCTTCCTATTGAAGTGCAACGAAGAGATTTTTCAATCTCAGGTAAGTTAAATTGATAATAAATCTTAATTTTTTTTAGTTATATACCTCGGATCTATAAAACCCTAATTTTTTTTTTTTTTTTTTTTTCAATTGTAATTATATCGATAATTTCTAAAGTCATGAAAAACTGTGATCAACTCGATTGCAATTTCATTCGATGGTTATTAATCTATATATCTCACTTCGCTTTTTAGATCAAGTGGTTTGAGTTCTTCGAACGATGGCTTTATTTCTCAGTTCACTCGTGATTTGAAGCGTTTATTTATTTTATAAATTTTTTATTTAAATTTTACAGTAACATGAATGTAGATGTTGCTGTGTGTGTGATATGCATATAATCTGCTAATATAAGTGGTGGCAATTCAAACTAAAGTCAATAGGAAATTAACATGATGCCAAAACAAACCACTGTGTTTGATTTTATAGTTAAAACCTTTTTTTTTATATTCAGAGTTTTAAATCATGATAATTTTTGTGAACAGTTCTTTTTCTGTTTGGGGTCAGTTTTGTATGGATGGTTTGTTTCAAAGCGGAGTTTCAAATACAGTTTATACAAGACAAAGGTTGGTGTCTTCTTGGTTCAATTTTGTGAAAATCAAAAAACTTTGGTTGACAGTTTCTGATAACAGTTTTTTGAGTTCTTGAGAACAAATTTGTGTCTTCAATTTATTTTGGTTAAAAGTAAGTAGAGTTTTAATAGGTTTGAGATAGCAAGAGTAGAATGTTACATTATTTAAAAGGGTTTTGCAACATTTTAATATTTTCACAACATAAAGTTAGTGACATGAAATTTCATAACGTAGGAAAAGAAATGATCTGTAAACTGTCAGATATGCTAGCCCAACCTTGGGATCATGCAGGACAAATGATCACGTCAAGTTCTGAAATACTATATTCTTTTTTTTTTTTTTTTCTTTTTTAGTCTTTTTCTTGGTAAGTCACCATATTCCTTTTGTTGAAAAAAAAAAAAAAAAGCCCTTTTGTTTTCTTTAATTTTTCTGCAAGACTTCAAAGCAAAACAAGCATTTTTTGTTTTATTTTCTCTGTGGATAAAAATAAATGTCTGGGCGTAGCTGTTTAATATCTTGTAATGTGTGAAAGTATTGTTCAGATTTGTATAGAAAGTTCTCCGTGAAGATAATTTGATCTTTTAGAATGGGTGGAAGTACAATTGATGATGATTGGGAGTTCACTTCTCCTTCAAATGGGGTTCGAACTGTGGTTTTGGTTGGGCGCACTGGCAATGGCAAAAGTGCAACTGGAAATAGCATCCTTGGAAGAAGGGCGTTCAAGTCAAGGGCTAGTTCTGCTGGTGTTACAAGTACTTGTGAGCTGCAGAGGACTGTACTGAAAGATGGTCAAATTCTTAATGTCATTGACACACCTGGTATAGTTATATAATGAATAATGTAATTGTAGTTTATTATTTTTGTTAGGTTAGATTTGCTCTTTTAAATGTTTCATACAAATATATATATATATATATATATATATATATATATATATATATTAAAAAATAATAATAATTAATAAATAAATAAAAAGAATTGTTAGAGATCCAGCTGTACAGAAATTATTGAAAAATAAACACATAAGCATTGGCACAGACAAGATTTCACAAGATCATATATTAAAACTAATATGAGATGCTATAAACTGGACGTTACTTATTCATTATTTATTTTGTCTAGTTTTCAAATGTTTACCCATCGACATTGGCAGGATTATTTGACTTTTCTGCTGAATCTGAATTTATCGGCAAAGAAATTGTCAAATGCATCAATATGGCCAAGGATGGTATCCATGCTGTTCTAGTTGTTTTCTCAGTAAGGACGCGCTTCTCGAAAGAAGAGGAAGCTGCTCTTCATAGCCTGCGGACTTTGTTTGGAAGCAAAATTAATGATTATGTGATTGTAATATTTACGGGAGGTGATGACCTTGAAGAAAATGATGAAACACTAGAAGATTACTTAGGCCGGGAGTGCCCTGAACCTTTAAAGGTAAAGTATCTTAACTCTCTTGAACCTTTTTATTTTATTTATTTTTGTTTTTTTCCTTCTGTAATTTTGTGGTTGAAAAATATTGCTCATGTTTTGATGACTTCAATTTTATTTAATGAGAATTCATACTAAGAAAGAATGAAAAAAGAGAATTCATGTGGCTGACCCCATCCATATGGGATAATGGGATAAAGTCAGGGTGATGATGAGTCTGATTTAAAAGTTAGTTATGGGCATGTTGGCTGCATAGTTTCATTTCTGTTGATTATAGACTCTAAGTTGAAACTCTCTGGATTTCAGTTCCCATGATTTAAAATCAATGCTGTTTTGGATGTCATCGAATTTATAAATATAGATTTCTAGTAGTTTGACTATTACTAATTAATTAGATAGAAGACAAAGTTTATATGCACCTTTTTTTCCCCCTTCTCTTTTACCTTCTAAGAGTCTGATTTGAGAATGGTTGTATATAGCACTTGAAGTTTTAACCTTTATATTTTTCATTAAATAGTTCAATGCTTTTAAGCATTATCTCAATGTATTGAAATGCTTAAGATAATTTTTTTAAAAAAAAGAGAATTTTGCCCCTCTGAATTTGTTCTTGATCAGTAAGATACTTATTAGAGGTTTTTTGGATTTTTGCTAACATTTGTTTAATTTTGCTTTGTTTTGTACTTGTTTGATTCTTTTGGAATTTTTAAGTTTGTTTTCTTTGATCTTTAAGTTGTGCAGTTCAAAATTTCCACTTTATGTTAAACTTTTGTCACCTTGTTATTTGAATGCTTAATATCGACCATCATTCTTTTGCCTCCATTTAAGTATTGTACTTTTGGCATTGAACTTCATATGCTTGATATGGGGATTTATTCATTAAAGTTTATAAACATCAATTCATGTAAAACAAGGTCTAAACATCTCTGATGGGTTTTTTCTTGTCATGTACCTTGTTCATAATTGCCTCAATTTTTGTTTTGAGTCACTTTTTTCTATCTACATCTACTTACTCAACACCTCTCTTTCTGACATTCATTAATGACCTTCAGTTTATTTATTTTTTGGACTTGATATAGAGATTTCTGCATGCCTGTCCTCTCTACTCGAATCAACCATTCAACTAGTGGAAATAAAGTATCCCTTCTATTAATAAATGGGTTGTTCTAATCCTTTTTGACATAGTTGGTCCCATTTAAAAGTTCTTCATAGGAATGAATTTTTAAGATGCTACTAGAGAATGTACCTTCTTATATGGCCAGAGCTAGGTATGCTAGGGTCGATCCACCTTTTGAGTGATTACTTCCAAAAGCTAGATGACTTGAGCTAGTTTTCTGCAGAGTGATATTTTGCTCATGGAAACACCCAGTCTTCTGTTCACCATATCAGGCATAGACAACATGTGAGCTGCTGGTTGGTTGCAGTTAATTTTTGGTACGAGGGTTCTGCAGATATGAAACTGGGATTTAAATGTATTTTCTGTTAATGGAACAATATGAATAATCTTTTTTCAAATTGAAAATAAACTGAATTTTGCCTTGAAGAAGTCCTTTATGTATGCCTTACATGATTAACTAAACAGGTCTAATCAGGTGGGTTGAGCTCCATAACGCAAACTATTAGAGTTAAATGGGTTGACACGATTATGACATGAACATGATTCAGATCAACTCAAAGCCGCTAACTTTGTGTTGTATTGGTGGGTTTTGCCAAATTTTGCCACCCCTATCAGCAGTCAGCATTGGGATTTTTTATTTTTTATTTCCAACTCAACAGTTGCAGTTTATTAAGGTCCTCATTTCCACCCCAAGTGAAAAGATTAAGCTTTATTTCCATCTGAACCCTACCAGACAAATGAACTTGTACACAAAACACCAATTTACACATAAGATAGAAGGATAGATTACACCAATTCCACTCTACCTGCCAAAGAAAGATTGGAATTCCATCTGCTATACTCCAGTATCTCTGATAGAATAGGAGGCAAGAAATTCCACAAGGAGATGGGCCTGTCGTCTGCTATTTTAATTCCATGATTCTTTTTTGGAACCAAAGTAGGAATTATGCAATTCAATCCCAAAGGCAGCGTAGAACATATCCTTATGCATTGTTTGGCAGACAATGCATAACAATACACCCTTTTCTCTTATCAGTTTATGATCCACATTTTCTTTTTCAATAGAAGGGGTTTTTAAGGCATTGTGTGTTTTGAGAATTGAATCATCAATGATTTCAAGCGCGGATAGATAGATCAAACAAAAAATCCAATTTCTTTTTTTGGCATACGATTGCTGGAATCTTATCTTTGGTTTGTTTGGTATGCATTGGGTAATGCCTCAATCTCCCAAATGTGTTATTAATGCGTGGAGAGGATGCCGTGTTAGACGTCAAGTTCGTGATTATTGGAGGATTATTCGACACTGTTTATGGTGGTGCATATGGAAAGAGAGGAATTTCAGAGTTTTTGAAGGGAAAGAATCGCCCTTACCAATGTTGAAACTTCATTTCCTTCGCTCCATTTTTTATCATGTAAAGGGAAGCTTTTGCTTCTCATCCATTGATTTTGTTAATCTTTTGGACTCTATGGGTCCTTAAGGTTTTTTCAGTATCCAGGATGCATTCCCCTTTTCAACGCTTTTGAATCTATTATAACTTCTCAAAAAAAAAAAAAAAAAAAAAAAAAAAAAAAAAATGAAAAAAATAATGAATAGCCTTTTTAACATCATTCCTTACTACAACCCAGTATTTCTAATAGAACCTAGCAAGGAAGCCTTTTGGGTCTAGAGCCTTGTCTGGATTAACATTCATCACAGCCTATTTAATGTCCTCTGCAGTGCTCTGTTGTTCCAGAAAAATTCTATCTGCATAAAAATCCTCTTCCTAGGAGACTCTATCATTTGTTGCAGAGCTAGAACGTGTACACAGTTCTTTTGAATTCTACAGCTTATGTGATCTCTAACCCTTGCATCACTTCCAAAGAAATCAATTCAAATTTATTAAAAAACAACCAATTCCTTACTTCTAGGAGCATGAAGGTCTATTAAGGCCTGTGACATTTCTAGCAGCCTATCATTTGCGGCCTTGGGATGGTGGATTAGGTCCACCTGCACGTTTCCCTCTGTTAACTCTATCAGAAGCTGAGATTTGATACTTTCCTTTTCCTTTTCTCTTCTTACAGACTTCATACTTTCTGGAGTTATATATTCCTTGATCACCTCATCCAATCCTCACCAAAACCATACCAACTGAGAATTGTAAGAAGAAATTTCTATGAAACATTTTCATAAGCTCTCTTTGAATATGTTTTTATATCCATAGTTGGATGTAGAGATTTGCTGCCAATAATGTTATTCTGAATTTTCTGCCCCTTAAAGGAACCCGAGTCCGAACCAAAACTTGTAAAATACCTTCCAACCTATTTGGCATAATCTTTGTAATGACCTTGTATATAATATTGCACAAGGAAATGCGTCTATAGCCCACTAGTCTCAAACTTGTCATTTTTCTTATGAATGAGAGAAACAAAGGTGCTATTCAAACCCATGGGAAATGTAGAAGTAAGAAATTTTGAACTGCCTGAATCACCGCATTCTTCGCTATGTTCCAAAATTTTTGAAAGAATCTTGCTGGACACCCATCAGTATCAGGAGCCTTATTAGGCTTGAAAAAGACTATAGCCCCCTTGATCTCCTCTTCAGTCGTCTCAGCATCAAGCTGTACTCATTTAACTCCACTCTTGTTCTGTCCATAATAGGGGCTCCAGTGGAAACTTGAGAATAAAGCTTCTTATAGAAAGTCCTTATTTCAACCTATTATAATACATCCTCTGATGCATAGAGCGAACACCATCCTCGTTTTGCAATGGCAAGTTGGGCATTCATGCTCCAACTTGAGGGGGAGTATTGAAGATTTAATGGAGGATTCAGTGGAGGAAAATCTTTCAATAATTGATGTTGTTTCCTATTATTGAAGATTTGGTGTTACTAGAGGAATTCGTGGAGAAAAATCCTCCTTGTTTCTTATTTTCTAATTCTTTCCATTCTCATAATTTCTTCTCCTATATAAAAGAGTCTCCGCTATTGTATTGTATATGAATTGAGACAGTATTATAAAAGTGATGTAGCCCTTTGGGTTCTTTATGCCATGGATGTAGGCCTTAGTGGCTGAAGCACGCAATATCTGTGTGTTGTACTTGTTTTATTTATCTCTTCGCTTTTGTTTTATGCTTTACAACATGGTATCAGAGCCTAATTTCTCTTTCTAGGTTCGGACCCCTACTTTGGGGTATTCCCTTAGCATCTGAAATGTTGCTAAGGGGTTCTCGGTGCTATTTGTGACTTGTTTGGGATGTCGGTTTGTTCGACAGTAATGTTCTTTGCCTGTGCCATGTCTACGGCAAATTTTTTTTTTTTTTTTTTTGATAAGTAATAATTTATTAAAAGGCGTTCATAAAGGGGAACGCGTCCCGGATACAAAACGAAAGAAAGACCTAGGGACCCATGGAGTCCAATAGATCAACAAAGTCTATGGATGAGGAGCAAAAGCTTCTTTTTACATAGCAAAAAATAGAGCGGAGAATATGAAGTTTCAAATTCGGTAAGGACGATTCCTTTCCTTCAAATACTCTATTATTTCTCTCTTTCCAAATGCTCTACCATAAACATTGTGGAGTAATCCTCCAATAATCTCGTGCTTCACGTCGAATGTGGCATCCTCTCCATGCTTTAATTAGACATTTGGAGGATTGAGGCATCACCCAATGCATGCTAAACAGGCCGAAGATAAGGTTCCAGCAATCGTATGCCATCGGACAGTGCATAAGGATATGATCCACAGACTCCCCATCACTTTTGCATAGACAACACCAATTGACAATAATATTACCTCTCTTTCGCAAATTGTCTAGTGTCAGAATGTTACCCCATATGGCTGTCCAAACAAAGAATGCCGCTCTAGGTGGAGCCTTAGACCGCCAAATAGTTTTCCATGGAAAAATCGGACCGACGAAG